TTTTTTTTTTTTTTTTTTTTTTTTTCAAAAAAGGTGGGAAAAAACAACTTGAGCACTGAGAGAGATTAGGCACTTGAGCATGCTTTCTGCTTTTGGGGTATGCTTTTACTCCTTTCTTCCTGTCTGTTTCACAACAGCTATGTTATTTTTTTGTTTTCCAAACAAACATATTTGAGTAACTTTTTGCATCTTAATATACTGCTGCTTCATGCAAACTCATCTTTGGGGTAGAGATAAATTGAAATGCAAGTGAAAATGCATCCCTCTTGCAACCAGAAAAAAAAAGTTTATACGAGATCTCTCTCTCTCTCTCTCTTTCATAGATGGATTCACAAACAAGCTTTCAATAATAATCTTTCATTTGTGTGTTTTCCCTAATTGTAGACAAAGGATCTGGTAATTCGTCTTCCAAGGCTATTGACGGGCAAATTAGAGCCTGTAAAAGAAAATCTTCAGGTGAGCTTATTAGTAGATATTAAAAGTGTATTGTATATCCACATAGTTTAAGAGTTGTCAAAAGATGAAATTCCTGGAGGAGAATCCTTCACAGAAAGAATTTAATGAAATAATTTTAGTGGAGATATAAAATAACCGAGGATTTTGTTAAACAATTTCTTTTCCGCTGTAGCTTGCATACAGCGAACGTGGAGCTTACAGCATGTGTGGAGCAGTATCTTATTCTGTCTTCTACTCTGATGTAGGTTAGAAACTTCATCTGGGTCCCTTCCTGCCAAAAGTTGCCATCTGATGACACAAATTGTTACCCATTTCTTTACAACGAGTGAAAAATAGGGCCTGCTCCCCCCTTAATTATCATGGTTTTTTGCTAGCTTGGATTGTCCATGAGGATTTAGGAGCAAGAAATGTGCAGTTGATTATTTTCCTCTTGGCAGGTAGCTAGTCTGCCAAAATGTGCATTTGACACCTATTGTCCGATAGCAGATGGTCGTTATTAACAACTGTTGGGTAAATAACTTCAAACCCACAGGGACTCCTTTCCCTTTTGAAAATGTAACTATGTATTGGTTTAATTATTGTGCTGTAAAGCTATCTAGGCCAAACAGCATGATGTAGTGTAACAATTTAAGAAATCCCATTATCCTATAACGCACAACTATGAATTAAAATATATAATTTTCAGACAGACTCACTGCTCTGAAACTATTAAACACTGGGAATCTTGCAATCTGAAATGTGTGTGTGGTAAGGGAGGAGACTGGAACATAGCAGACTGTTCCAATTAATAGTGCTTTCTTTTTAATGAACATTGTTTCCACAGGCTAGGGATTCAGTATATTATAATGAATGTGTTTTTAAGATCCTCAGTTCTATGCGACTATCTTGTCTATCTGCCAAAAAGTGTATAGTGTAGCATCCTTATTTTTAACATGCTCTAGAGAGAGAGGAAGGATTTTTAGGCCCTCGCTGTTAAAGTCTACTGATGCGTAGAAAGAAGCTCCAGCCTTTCAGGAGGTTGGATGTCTCAGATTCGGGATCTGGGTTCAGACCTGTATGCCCCAAGCTGGTGGTGGGCTGGCAGTACTGAGAAAGTGAAACCATATAGCAGCAGTTCAGAAGTGATCTGGCAGTATCCCTCATTCTGAGTGGGCTGTTATTGAGAAACAACTGCTGCAGCTGATACTGGTTGTCAAAAGATGCCAGTCATGGACTAAATGAGCTGAAGGATGGCTTATTCCATCCTCTGAAGGTTTCATCAAGCACAATTAGAGATTCACTGATAGGGTAAAACCAGAAAGCTTGCATTACCACTGCCTGCTGTGGGAATCATACAGAGTATGTTCAATATTGCTGGGGCTTACACAGTAAGGATATTAGTAACTCTCTGGACCACATATGCTGAATATTAAATATGTTTGCTGTCAAACTGAGTGCAGTCAAAGCAACTTAGACTTCAGCTCACCGTTCGTGTCGAAAGAGAGCTGTTCCATTTCACACAGTAGAAAAGAAAAGCTCGAGATTCTTGCCACAGTTACCTCTACAGCGGGGCCAGCTATACATCTCCACTGATTTAACATCACGTTTACTCTTGATTGTGTATCCTAATGCAGTAAGTTACCCCTGCCCACTCAGATCTGTGAAAGACACCACTACCGTGCAAACACATCTCTTAATACTTGAATGCTGTCTTAGTTGATTAGTATTTCCTGTGATACGCCAATATTTATAAAGCAGATAAAGAAGAACTGGGAGTTGAAAGACCTGATTATAGTCACCTCTAGCAACAATTCCTTGTAAGGATCTGGAAGTCCTAAGGTAGCTTCAGAACCCAGATTCTAAGCCCTTCCCTTTGTATTTGCCAGGCAGTTTTGGAAAAGAGCTGCAGTCTTGGCACATCAAACTGGAAAAAACAGAAAGCACCACCTTTTTGCCAACTGAAAAAGTACCTGAGTTGTATTTGAAAGTCTGGTTATGTTGACTGACAAGCACACCCACTTCATGACTAAAAACAAGCTGCTTGTAAATGTCACTGGGGGATAGAAGAAATGGCTGAGTTACCAGACACTCTTGTGTGCTGAATTCCTTTCTCAACAACTCAATGAACTGCTTGCCATTCTGCACTTTGGGAGGAGTGCTCATGATTTTATTGAAAAAATGTGTTTTGTTTTCTTTTTGGGAAACCATAATTGAAGTCAAGGCAGTCTCTGAAAAAGACATCTTACTTTATACATTAACCAACTGTAAAATAAATGGAATACACTGCATATTCTACACATCTTTCAGGTTCAACAGACTTCCCTTGAAGACTACAGGACTGAAATTATGCTCCCTAATATAAAAATATAACTTGGATACATTAGCAAAATAAATAACACATTAACAAAAGTAGTCACTAGCTATTTGATTGCGGTGTTTTACAGAGCTCAACAGCTCCACAACTAGAAAGTCGCTTTCTTTTGACAGCTTGGTATTGAAACTGATAAAAGACTCTTAGGGGAGAATTTTTATGCTTGTAACTGCCATGCATACTGAGACACAGCTTTTTTCAGACAAGCTGAAAAATACATAGCATTCACAGAAGTCGTCTTTACTTCAGGGGCACTCTATAATCAAATTACACTTTAATCCAGAATAATAAATAATTTGCACTGTCTGACTTGAGAAGAACTGGAGTGGCAGATGTGTTGCATTCTTGTTGCTGTGTGACAAAGGGTAGAAGAATTTTGCATTAGTTTATTTCAGTGACATGTTAAAATACGCTAAGTTTGCTATAGCTGACTTTTGAGGATAAAATTGTGCTCTTTTTCAGGTTTGTCAGATTGAACTTGGTTTTCAACGTAATGAAATTCAACAGATTGTGTTTAAAACCCCCAAGATTTTAACTGCGAGTAAAAAGAGACTCAAACAGACATTTGACTACTTACACAACATAATGGGCATTCCCCACCACATGCTTACTCGCTTTCCTCAGGTGAGCGGTTAATCTGGGAATAAATTGTAGGTGCTCTTTGCACAGCTGCTTCACTAGTTTGGTGCTGAAGGTGGGGCCTCACTGTATGCAGGACACATGTGAATTCTTCAACTTGTCTGTGGCTTTTACTCAAATTGGAATAACTTTTATTAGCGATTCAGCAAGCATTGAGGATTCCAGTGTGGAAGTGCCCTTCTTCTTCCCCTGGCACATGTGACACCACCACCCCCAGTCTTGTGAATTTTTAAGTTTTCAACAGAAGTAGTCATGCTCATCTCTTCTGGATTCATGCAAGAGAGATTACTGCCTGCTTAGGGATTCCTTGTCCTGAAATCTTACCGAGCTAAGAGACATAAGGGAAGACAGATCATGCAGAAGATCTGTTCATCAGATAACATACACATAAAAACATTTATTTCAGATTTGTCTAGTTAAAAAATAAATTTTATAGATCCTAGGATCTGAAAATATAGTTTAAAGGTAAGAGAAGTTCTGTCAGGCAATCAGATGCTCATTGATCTTCCTATTGCTGTGGCAATAGCTAAAAAATCACAGGAGTGAAAATAGATTAGTTTCTTGATGACTATCTTATTTTTTTCTATCTCCTCATTACTATTAGTCTCTCACAAATTAAAAGTTGAAAGCATTAGTCACTTCATCCAGTGCTGACATGCAGTCACACTAGCTTCTTACAAGGAAAAAAAGAAAGCACAAATTACAACTTCTGAACAGCAAGTATTTTCTTCCTAAAGCAAGTCTAGTAGGGAATCTTAACTGCCTAATCTAACTGGCTAAAAAGCCAAAATTATACGGGGAAAATAAAACTACTTCCCAGGATTTTGATTACTTATCTTGCTATTTAAAATGTCTTTACATAACAAGGATGCTTGCAATAACTCCAATCCATGTGTCACTTTTGCCCTCCTTGACCTGTAAGTGACCACAAGTCTTGCTTACTTCCTTCTCAGTTGTCTTATTGTTGGCTTCATGGTGGTTCACCTCATTATTTCTCTTCCCTTTGTTTGGAAGGCTAAGTGGAGAGTTTCCTCTGCTCCTTGTCCTTGGTGCAGTCACCCTCTCTCTTCCCTGTCCTTCCCTTCCATCCTCAAAAACTGTGAGTTCCAGGATATGGCTAGTGCAACTCAGTCTGTATATGGTCTGGCCATTAACTTGTGCATCCACAAATGCACGCTTGTCTCCATCTGTTCTTGCTTCTATCCTGAAGGACAGTAATGCTGAAAATAAGAGGCATACAGGATTTTTTGGTCAAATCCTCTCTGGTGTTACAGCTGCTGTTGTAGCCATCCTTCCTGTCAGCTAGCTCCATAAACGGTGGTTAAGGTTTTTCCTGTCTTCAGACTCCCTCTTAAAATTCAAGGAAGGCAGAGGAGGAACAGTAGTTTTGCTTTCTGTCCTAGTTCAAATTAGTTTGCATCCTCATGAAATCCTTCCTTCAAGTAGTGTAGTCTCTCCTTTTTAGTAAAAACTCTGCTCGCTTTCATTGCTGTAGCATTCATGTTTTCACCATGATCTTCTCTAAAGCAGCATCTCTCTGTTCAGTTGTACTGCTCAGAAATGCAGAGTTAGAGCTCTGCTTTTAAAGGCTTCTTAACTGTGCATCTCTTGTCTTCCCCACTTCGCTCTTTTTAGATGTTCCACTGATTTCTTTCATGTTTCCCTTACCATTGTTCTCCCCTTTGACTGTCTAGAAGTCTTTTTCTGACAGGTATCTTCAAAGGTAGGCATTGCTGCGCAGCAGAAGACAAGTGGTTGTTTTGAACCACCGCACTCTGCCTTTTGGCTGTGTTATGACAGGAGGCGCAGCCGCTCCTCTTCTGTGTTGCCGCTGTGCAATTCACTCATTTGTATTATGCCGTGTGGTCACCTGTTCATTTCTTCCTTAAAACAATGCTCGTCTGAATCTGACTGTATAAATAAATGCTTCTGATAGTATAGGGAAAATGCTTAGGTATTCTCGCTCCCTGTTTCTGATGTCTCCGCTCCCCTTTCTCGGCCGTGATTACACAAAAGTCACATAGTTATCATATATAAACTGTCATGCTTAAGAGAGTTGTATCACTCCCTGATTTCCCTTGTGTATGTACCTCAGTATATTGTATTGAAACATTTATTTAGAGTTTAGATGATTTAAACATAAATATAACCTACACGGTGTTTGACGTAAATGAGGAGAAAAGACACAAATTATTTGTTTTCTTCCTAGATCTTCAGTTTGTCTAAAAAATGCTCTTATTTTTGATTCATCAGAGTCTGAAATTTAGACAACCTAAAAGATTCTTCCCTTTCTTTCTTTCTTAGGTTTTCAACTCAAGGCTATTACGAATCAAAGAGAGACATATGTTTCTTACGTTCTTGGGAAGAGCCCAGTATGACCCAGCACAACCCAGCTACATCTCTCTGGACCAGCTAGTATCCTTGCCCGATGAGGTGTTTTGTACAGAGATTGCTAAAGCTTCTATACAGGACTTTGAAAAATTCTTAAAAACACTTTAATTAGTAACACATGTAAAAAGGAATAGAATAAAGTTATGAAATAAACATATTTTATAAAACTACTCCCCTTTATGGTCTCTTAACTTCTTAATTACTGGTTTAAGAAGAAGACGCTTATGAAACATTTGTAGGATGTAATGGCTCACAGTAATATTCTTTATGGTGACTTAAAAATATATTTCAGAAGTATTAGGTGCATATATGTTATTTGTTACTGATGCAATCCTTGTAATGCTAACTTAATTGAGAGTGAACAATGCAGCACACTAACAGAAAAGTAAATTGAAGTGTATTCTTCTTTTTTTTTTTTATTTTCTCTTCTCTTTCAATAATTTCAGAGTTTGGGGAGATGGAAAAACTGGCTAGTGACTTATTCCCTGTCTTGCCCTCTGTCTTCTCCCCTCATCCTCCCTCCCAAAAATTAGAATAACAAGCTAACGCAGTAGTGAAGAAGTGATGTGATTACCTGCTTTCATTTTAACAGCTAATAATGGTATTCTTTTCTTTGTATGGTAGAAAGAAGTACACTGCTACATATGTGAAGCCCCTCGTACAAACGGGCATTTTTCAACAGGTTACAAAAGTGTTTCTTTGTGAAGTTGGCTGCTGAAGTTAATATCCTGAAAGCTGTGCAGTGAAACTTGGTTTGATGTATCAAAAAAAATCAGCAAACTGAATCTAGGCAAATTACAAACCCAAAATAAGCTCGTTCTATATTTCAGGGACATATATAGTTTTATTTTCAGTCACTTTTCTCTTCCGCTTGTTGAGGAGGGGAAGCAGTGTTTCCCCACTCCGATGAGATTGGTATGGCTTTAGTATACAAGTAACCATATGAAAAGATGCTGTAGTATATATAAGTATATACTACAGACAGAGTTATCTTGCTCAGTTGTAACAGCTGAAGTAAATGCTAACATTAGGAATCACAGGAGTATTAAAAGTACTTAATCCTATCAGTAAACAAACCACGTTAATACAGAATTATGAAATGCTTCACAGTGTATTTGGTCAAAGTGAAGAAACTGACTAACGCCAAATGCAAATTGTCTGATAGTTTATTGTTTAGAAGTTTCCATTCTTTCTGTTGAAATAGTTTAAGAAACTGAAATCCAGATGTCTTCATTTGGATTTAAGCTTATTTAATGAAAAAGTCTCAATGTTTTAAAAGCTTAGTGTTGGAACTTAAAATACCAATTTGAGTCACAGAAGTGTAAGAGCCTGAAGAAGATTTTGTATGCAGACAGAAGAATAAAATTCAAAAGGTGAAATTCCCCTAATAGGTGGAAATACAGTAACATTACAGAGACATTTAAAGAATGAGAACAGTAGTGATCTCTGGATCACAACTTGGGTCTTTTATCCAAAATAAAAATTTGGAATTTGAATTACAACACCCAAGAAAAGGAATGTTGTCAGAACAAGCAGGGTGCAAAATTATTTACTGGGGCATCTTCATTTGAAACACAGTAAAAAGCCACAGTCATTGTCTGCAATATATATCTGAGATGCTCTCTTTTGTCTTTCATTCTCATGTTTCCCACTCCGTTGGCCTGGGAAGATCACTTGAAACCCTCTACTGAGTAGACTGTTCTTGCTGGAGATGCATAACATTTCATCTAAAGTGGTGGCTGAAATGTGATGGCTAAACACTTTCCCCCGTTCCTTCCTTTCAAATAAAAATATCTAAGTCTAACTCAATATGCTTACTTAGATTTTAACTGTATGCTAATAAATGTATGCTCTGCTTTAAATGCTAATAACGAACTATAATCTTCACTCTTGTAAAAATTAATGTTTCTAGTAAAACCTAATGTTAATAGAAAGTATGTGGGTTCATAATGCCAAAGTAAAGAGTTTGCTTTTGCAGATTTACTCCGCTGTCCTTATCACAATCTATATTACCATGTGTCAAACCATTATAATATAAATTATATTACAGAATACATACGATATTTTAAATGTCTTAAACTTTGAGCTTTTAATTCCTTTAATATTTTTTAAATGTAAAAATGATTGCTGCCAGAGCTAAACCAGTTTCTTTGAAATGTTAAATGCATGAGCTTATGCCAAAACAGCTTCCCAGAAATACCATGAAGAGAGGAAGCAAAAGATTTTATGAGAGTGCTAAAAGGAAACGGGAGAGAGGACAGAAGAACTTTTTGAGGATCGTGCCAAATACTTCTCGGCTGTAAGATGAAAAAAAAATCTTCAGGAAAAATGTTTGGCGTAGAATTACCAAACTTATTGTAGTCTGCCGTTCTTGATAAGGGCTAGCAGCCTTTTATTGACCATGTTGATTAATTGAGGCTTGGTGGGTACAACATGGCAAAGACACTTTGCGGTCTGCTGACATGCAGTCTGAGCTCTGCGGTTTGCCTGCCTATCACATTCAGCCATGTGCTTTTCTGACTGCAGCAATATTTCTAGAGTAATTCCACTTTTTTTTTTTTTTATTTCTTTAAAAATGCAGTGGTCCCTGTCCGAAGGAATTGCTGGGGACAGGCAGCCATCAGTGCCTCAGAAAACAGAGCCACTCACCTGGCAGCTGTGATACCTGAGCAGAGCGAGCTTTCTGCTGCTTTCTGCGATGGCCTTGATGCTTTGCTTACCGTGCTTTACAGACACAAACCCATTTTGGCCAACGCTCGCCTTTCCCCCTCAGTTTGCTGTTACTGGTCTACCAGTTCAGCTGCCCCCGTTGAGGATGGGGTACCTTAACCCGAGGCCAGCGGTTATTCACACGCGTTCTGCACGCTCCGGGCCACGGCCGCGGCCACGCAGGTTTGCTGGTGAGAACGTGGGCACCGCTACCGAGGGCCGCGGCTGGGTCTACGGTGGCAAAATACTGGGATTTTTGAGGCGCTGCCAGTTTGCAGAGGCACCGTACTGAACGCAGCCGAGCTACGTTGTTCTGAATCTTGGCTTAACTGCCGATTCTTCAACACTGTAAGCAGAAGTTAAAACCATCGTAAGCGCCGTGGGCTTCACCGTGCCCGCCTTAGCCTCTGCTCTGTCGCTCCTCCCGCCCGCGGGCAGGTGCCTCAGAGCAGCCCGGCGTCCCGCCGCGGTTACGACGGAGCTCCCGCACCCGAGGACGGGCTAGCGGCAGGCCGGCACGGCGGAGACCGACGGGGCACTCTCCGTCCTTGGGGATGTTCGCCACCCGCCTGGATAAAGCCGCGGGGGAGCGGAGGCTCCGCCGCTACCGGTCCCGGCCCCCGCCACCCCCCCCAC